AGATCTTGAGGTATCGAGAAAGGGATAATTGCTATATTAGACGAATGTGTTTATGAGGTGGTATTTCTTTCTGCCAGAGAAGATAGAGCAAGAAGTTATGTGAACTTTCAATCGACTCATTCCGAAATGTCGACAAAACTGTGTATATTCCCAACAGCTCCCCTAACAACTAACCACACAACCTCATGCTTTGGCTTCTATACACTTCCACCTTGCTGATGACATTGATTGATTCTTTGGAACAATCATGGCTCTCCCCAATTTTGCGTCCTTTGTAGCTCTTAAGAAATTTTGTCTCCCTTTTATCTCTCTTAAACCTTATTAGCCATTTACTCAAGCTCATTAAGTAGGTTATGCTTTGTCCCATCTGTCCTGTGAGTATCAGATTTTCTAAGCCCTCTTTCCTCATTATGCAAATTTCAACTGTCTCTTCCTGATGTCAAGTATAAGTTTGCTTTTTGTTTCCATTTTCTCTAAAACATTGTTGCTCACATGTTCAGTTCATGGTATTCACAGCAGCCTTCTGTAGAACCACATTTCTGTGCCTTCACGTCTCTTCATCTGTGAGGATATTTTCCAGCATTCACTACCATATAGGAAGACCAATATTATGTAACCGTTCAGTACTCTTTTCTTTGTAATGATATTTTTATGTTTAAGAATTTACTTAGCTTTTGGAAGGCATATTTTGCTATCCCATTGCACCTGTGGATTTCAATGTCACATTTTCCCAGATATTTAAATTGTATTTGCTTGATTTTAGTGACTCCAATTTGTAATTTGCATTCTGGGTGGTTCCTTTTGCTATTATGCATTCAGTCTTGCAATTTATGTTTAGACTTTTCTTTTCAAAGAACTTCCTATTATCATGTGAACCATTCCCAATTTTGGCAGGATTTTACAGAATTTTGGTAAGCACGTTAATCTTCTCACAGCAACTTTCTCAGAGGTGGAGCAAGGAAAATTCAGTTGTACTGAATTTACAAAAATCTTACTAGGTTTATTTTGGGTTCAAATCCTACCAATGCTGTTTTCCAAAGTATTTTATAGCCTCAGGTTAATATTTTTAAACCAAACTTTTTTATTCCATCAGGTTCCAATCTGATATAATTTTTTTTCTACTTGGCATTTTTATTCTTTCTCCTTCCTCCTCTCTCTGTTTCCTCCTCGCCGTGCTTTCTCCTTCCTCCTCCTCGTGCTTTTCCCTTCCTCCTTTCTCCTTCCTCCTCCTCTCGCCCGTGCTTTCTCCCTTCCTCCTCCTCGCCGTGCTTTCTTCCTTCCTCCTCACCGTGCTTTCTCCTTCCTCCTCCTCCGTACTTTCTCCTTCCTCCTCCTCGCCGTGCTTTCTCCTTCCTCCTCCTCGCCGTGCTTTCTCCTTCCTCCTCCTCGCCGTGCTTTCTCCTTCCTCCTCCTCGCCGTGCTCTCTCTGTTTCCTCCTCCTCTCTCTGTTTCCTCCTCCTCTCTCTGTTTCCTCCTCCTCTCTCTGTTTCCTCCTCCTCTCTCTGTTTCCTCCTCCTCTCTCTGTTTCCTCCTTGCTGTATTTTCTTCTTGGCCTAGTTTATCCAAATAACTTTTACCTACTTCATTATTTTTTCTAAAATAAATTTTTCCTACAAACTCGAGTAAATGGTTTTAGATCAAACTTATTTTTCAACTCCACCCTTTTGTCATGTTTCTCCTCCCCCATTGTATTAAGCACTTCATAAAATGAATTAAAATCCAGTTTGGGGTTAAAGTTTATGAAAGTACACTAAAGAAACAAAATGACCAGTAATTGATGTTGGGAAACAATATTATTTGGATGAAATTGGGATATTTACTGATATTTTTTTTTTTTTTCCTGTGTGTGTCTCTGTGTGAAAATGAGAGAGAGAGAGAAAAAACTTGGCTGAGACAGGTCCAAACTTGTAATATTTTTTTGCCAACTCTATATTGAATTGATTAACTCATCAATATCATGGTCATTAACAGCAGGTGTGGCAGCTTCATCTTTGTATTTCTCATCCCGCCTCACTCAACTCCCCCATCTTATATTTACGTTGTTTTATTTCGGATGTGTTATTTGAAGTCTCCCTACTCTTGTTTGCAACCAAGTTTTTTTTTTTTTTCTCATTTTTTTTTTTTTTTAAAAAAAAAAAAACCAAACTGCTATTTATCAGACGTTAAAGTTTTGCTTATTTATCTGCTCAAATAATTATTTTAATAATTCAGGGTTTATTTTTCCCTTCACTCAGTTAATGAAACTTATGACTTAAAAAATAAATTAGATATAGAACATTCATTTTTAATATATATTTTCTTTTGTTTCTCGTATGTCCAATTACATGCCCATTGGACCATTTTAAAACAAGATGAATATGACTACAAAGCATATTTGACTAACAGATAAGTATGGCTGGTTATTGTGAATTATTCACGTCATCCTAAGTAAGAATATAGTAAAATCAAACATTGTTTTAACCAAATATTGATTATTTCTGAGTAGTTACTAAGCTTAGTTCAGCCTGACAGATTAACGACAAGTGTAGAAATAGTGTCCAATAAAAACTAGCTTGCATCCTATATCCTATTGTTTACTTTAATAGTTGAAGATTGTATTGACCTAAAACACTGTGATGAAAAGCAATCATTTTGAAATGTTACTGTCAACACCGACAATCTCCTGACAGTTTTGGCACTAAAGATTTCTTGCTTTTTCACCTCTGAGCTCAAAAATTCTGCCAGCACATTTAAGTAAATTCAATGTTTTCACTCTTGAAACATACATACTTTGTACATTGTCAGATATCATTTTTTTTTGGCAGAGGTGCATTTTCAAATATTGCTATTTTATTTTTCTGGCAGGTGTGCATTTTCAGATATTGCTATTATTTTTCTGGCAGATGTGCATTTTCAGATAATGCTATTATTTTTCTGCCAGGTGTGTATTGCTCAATATTTTTTTATTTTTTGTGGTTATGTATTCTCAGATTTTTATTTTCTAGCAGTGATGTATTATCAGATTTTTTGTAGGTGGGGGTATGATGCCAGCTATGGTTTTTATATAAAAACAAAATTTCATCTAAACTTTATTCTTTTTACACATCTCTGATAAGAAATTAATCTGGTTTATAAGTGACTTTACAGCATTCTCATATTTTAAGATTCAACAAAGGAAGTTATTTTAACCCCTGAGATTAAGTTCAGTCAGACTTTAGCCATTCCAAGTAGTCACTTCTCATCTTCCCATCATAATTAATACTGCTTGACTTTGCTATCAGGCTAGATGACTTGGTTTTGATGTGAGATAACCTGTTGTAAGCCAATCATCAAAGGGACTAGATAAATGTATGATGTATTGATTTTTAACCTTTCTGCATCCCTACAATCCATTTGGGACATCTCTATCTCATCTTAAACCTCTTCACACATGAACTTTACTTTATTTATTAGAAGAGAATTAATCAATATATGTGTGCCGACATACCCATGTTTCCGACTGTGGAAGATCTTATAAAACTCAAATGTGCAGCATTTGTATGCATGGACATGTTCTCTGTCTTGTGCAGATTGCATTCTAGCTAGCACCTAAAAGTCCTGGAAACTATTTGTATTAAATCGAGACAATCTTCTGAATATATTATTGCGACATATGTTTTCTTTGTCTTCATGTATTTTTCTATTTTTTTTTTTTTTTTTTTAATCAATCTGTAATTTTATTTGTTTACTTCAACTAGCTTTGATAAGTAAGGCATGAAACTAGTTAGTTTGCTCTCCTCTTCTTTGCTTGTTTCTATTTTCGTATTAACTACAGTAATTATTTACATTGTTCGGACAGTAGTCCTCATCTCTAATGTCATGTTCATGCCTTTTGTACGCTCTGGCCTTCTTCAGGGGACTGTAATTTTGAACTGAACCCTTTATTTCATTCACCAGGATAGATTGTTCTAGCTCCTTGCCTCTTCTGAATATCTCGGTTATCTCCCTTTTAACTCAACTCACCGAGTTTTTATTCCCCACTGCCATAGCCAGGTATTGAACTCACAACTCTTTTGGTCACGTCACTGGATCCAACCAATCCACTGGGCCATGTCTCCTTGAAGAAGGCTGGAGTGTACAATGGCTGAAACATCATGAGTATAGCAATAAAGATGAAGACAACAGTCTGAACAATGTAAATAATTACAAGACCTCATCTCAGAAATATAGACAGATAACTACAGTAGTTGTTTATATTTTTCTATTGAATTTTTATTTTTGTTTTATTTTTGTTTTATTTTTTAATTCAATCTGTCTTAATTGCTGTAATAACAAGATTTTTTATTTATTATTATTATTATTATTAAACTTCTGGTGTCCTTTGATTGGAGTTCAGGCTAAAAAAAATTTGACCAGCTGTTACCTATGAGCATATCAGGCCATAGAATTTCCTATTCGATGACCTGATTTAATTCATTTCTAAACTTAAATTCTTATATTCCTCTTGCACACCATTGGAATTTTTTTGCTGTTTTACTTGTGTGTGCCATGTCTCTTTGAGGTGTGAGTGAGCCATAATTTCCTGTCTATTGTAATTCTTTATAAATTTTGTCTTTTTGCTATATCTCCTAAATCCAGTTCTGCCAACCATTTATACAAGCTCATTATTCTTCTATGTACTGTGTCTCTTCAAAACATTGATCATGACTCTCCACAATTTCCTTTCCTTTGTAGTTCTAAGTAAAGATTATATTTTTACTATCTCTCTTAATCCCTGTGCTGCCAACCATTTATACAAGTCTTTCCGACTTCTATCTGCTTGTGCCTATTTAATCAAATGTTTTATAGATTTCAACCTCAAAAACCATGTTCCTGGTAAGTGGTAATCAAGCCTATAATGCCATTTTTCTTTGTAGTGGATAAATATATTCTTTCATATATAAAAAAACAAAAAAAAAAAAAGAATATCTGTTGATGTATATGAATTTCGGTAAGTCTTGATTAAATTGTGGAAACTCCTCTTGTCACCCAAAAGATCTAGTATGACTTTTGCTAGGAAGGCACCAGATGGTTGTTTCTCTCTGTTCAATAGTGATTACCGCTTGGCTACCAGCCCCCAGCCCTACCACATTTCAGGGTATTTGCCAACTCTGACGTAAAATAGATGAGCGACCAACCAAGCTTCTTTCTGCTGTTATTCTTCAGCATAAAAGAACCTTGAAAAGCAAAGAAAAAAAAAAAATCCACTTTTTTTTTCCATCACCCTTACCCTCACCCCTGACATTTGTTGACAAAGTAACAATTTCATTTCTTTATTTCTTTTTTCACTTTCATAAAGAGCGCACACATATGTGCATGGTCGAGCTTATTAAACAGAAAGCAAAGGAAAATTTGCATAATGCATTTTTTTTTTTTCTATAATTTTAAAGTCATTATCATTCCTGGAACTTTTCTAGACAGTTTCTTGCTATTTGCATCCAATTCCTGAAGAAAAAAATGTTCCTTTTATTTTCTTACAGATTCTTCTTCTGTGTGCCATCTCCTTTCAGGCTTATGGCCACACCATGTTGAGGTACTGGTTCCTGTAAGATCACCAAAGTTAAGCAACATCTAGCCTGGTCAGTACCTAGATAGGTAATGGCTGTAAGCTTGAATGTTCAGGTGGCATAGTGGATAATGACTTGGTATTGTTAATCAAAGAGTAAAGTTCCAATTCCCATTGGGTTCATTTATTCACTTACAAACAAATAAACTTGGTAAAGGTATGAATCCATCTCTTCTCTCCCCAGCTATGGGTTAATTAGTAAGACTTGTATTACTAAACCCTTATTATTTAAAAAAAAAATTCTTAAGATCTAAAAATATTTTCTGGTTTTAAATAACCTTAAAAATGAATCAATCAGTCTGTCCCTTCAGGATGTGAGCAATCATGGCTCTCCACAACTTCCTGTCTTTTGTAGCTCTTAGTAAAGTTTGTCTTTTTGTCATCTCTCCTAATCCCTGTTCTGCCAAACATTTAGACAAGCTCATTATTCTATGTCCCTGCTGTGTGGGCAATCATGGCTTTCAAGCACTTCCTGTCCTTTGTAGCACTTTCATAATACATATTCAGCCAAGTTGGTTATTCACTGCTTTCATTTGCCCCTCTTGCTTTCAATATGTCCTTTGGAGTGTCAAATTCTACAAGCTCTAGAATGATGTATCCCAGGTGAAAATTTTGTCTGTTTCTGATTTTAAGTGCTCTTTATGTTTTCATTGTCTTTAAAACTTCCCTGTTGCTTGCATGTTCAGTCTATGGTATTCTCAGCCTCCTTCTGTAGAAACACCTTTATGTTGCCATAATTTTCTTCATCTGTAATGAGATTGTAAGCATTCACTGCCATTTAATGTTAGAGATTGTAAATCTGAAAAAGATTGTAGAATTGTCTGAAATATGGTAAAAATAAAGTTGGGTGTGTGAGAAAAAAAAAAAAAGCTCAATAGTTTAAATTGCTAATCTTCAAGAGTTGCCCCCCTTGGAAGAAACAATCTTACTCAGATGTGCTGAGCAGCCATCTTTCACTGGGAACCCACATGGCAAACAAAGCAGTTTGAATAAACCATTCTCTCTCTATCACTTGTCAGAGTTACTTAATTTACATTAGGAGCAGATTATAGTTGTCTTTTTGACTCTTATCCTTCTGGCGCTATCAGCCTAAGGATAATCATAACTTCAGTAGAATTTGCAGCCACATATGAATCATTTTGGGGGTGTTGACAGAAGGTGTTGGAATTGTGTTCTTACATCATTCTCTTCTTCTGTTGTCATAAATAATACTTAGAGGGTGCTATATCTATCCATATCATTGTTGGCTTTATCACTCAACTTAATTCTTTACTGACTGCTTCTTTTATGATGGTGTCTATGACTAAATTCATGCAAGTTCAGGAGTAGAAGCTTCCAGTTTCCTCAAAACCTGCTCCTGTCATCCATTCCCTGTCACCATTTGGCTTTACAAGACTTGGTTGGAGGTGAAAGAAAATCAAAAGAAAGTGCTGATGACATGAATTTATTTAAGGTGGACCTCGATTTTCTATCTCTTTTCTCATAATTGCTTCCCTTTCAACGTGGTTTCCAGATTGAGGAAGAGCCAGAAGTCACACAGTGCCATGTCGAATAAGTAGTGTGTTATTCTTCACCAAGAAAGCTTGGATTATGTGGGCAGAATGAGCAGGTGCATTGTCATGGTAAAGTTGCTAATCTTTTCTGTCCATCTGTTCAGCCACTTTCAACATCATGAAGGTGATATATAACCTCCAGGTACGATTCCTTGATTGTTTGGCCTTGTGATGTGTATTCATGATACACAATACCACAGGAGTTAAAGAAACAAGGTTAACATTACTTTCACATGACTGTGGATGTGCGTGGCCTACCTTAGCATACCTCAATCTCCACAAATGTGCAGCCAAGTTGCACCTCTTGTTGACCTGAGTTTTGCTCATGGTATCATTGCCAAAGGCCTGTTGAATCTTCTGAATAGTTTGAGCTAGTGTATCACCAATCTTTTGGCAAAAACTTGATGCAATATCTCTACTGGATGTGTTCTGTCATCTTGCATGAAAACGAAAATCCAGCAAGTGCGTATTACATGTCAATATGTTGAGCATAACAGCCAAAGACTGACACTGCGTACTGGGATGAAAATGTTCATGCATGTGAAGGAAGGGTGACATCACCTCTCATTCAAAGGATGTTACCCACATATTAGTTTTGGCAGGAAAAAATAGTAGGATACTTTTTAAACACATCTTGTATAATTCCATCAATAAGAACATTATTTCAGCTTGATGAAGTCTTTTTTTCTTCTTTTCTTTTTTCTTCTTTTCTTTTTTCTTCTTTTTTCTTTTTTCTTTTTTCTTCTTTTTTCTTTTTTCTTCTTTTTTCTTTTTCTTCTTTTCTTTTTTCTTTCTTTTTTCTTTCCTCTTTCTTTCCTCTTTCTTTTTCTTTCCTCTTTCTTTCTTTTTCTTTCCTCTTTCTTTTTCTTTCCTCTTTCTCTTTCTTTCCTCTTTCTCTTTCTTTCCTCTTTCTCTTTCTTTCCTCTTTCTTTTTCTTTCCTCTTTCTTTTTCTTTCCTCTTTCTTTTTCTTTCCTCTTTCTTTTTAAATGCTAAATTTGTTACATAGTTTTCTTATTTTATTATTCAGTTACCTCTATCAGTCCGGTATATAGTTTATACATCATATTCTCCTATATTCAGTGACGTATAAAGCCTATATATTGTTGGGAATATATTCCTGTTCAAGCACGTGCAAACATATTCATGTTAGATTAATATATAAGTTTTTGATAATACATTTTCCAGTCTTCCTAAGCTGTGTCTAATATTGTGGAGAGGGAAGGTTCTGTCTTAAGGATGAAGAAAAAAAACTTTATAAATTTATTCCTCTGTTAATTTTTTTGGAGGGTTTAATCTTTAAGATAAGCTTTCATGTAAGTAGTAAGTGTTTGTGGTAGCAAGGGTAAGCAGGTTTGTTGAAACTTTAAAAATGGCTTTCCCACGTTGCATAAGAGTCTTTGTAATTACAATCAAAATAAGTACACCTTGAGGGTTCACAAAATTTAACAAATTGCCAAGTTTTTTTATCCTACTGTCAGTGTTTATGTTCTCTTGGGAAAAACCTTCTCATTGTCAAATCAAATACACAACAAATGGGTCTTTTCAATTTTCTCTTTCAAAGATTTGTAAAGTTTATTTGACAGATTAAAACCACAAGATTCTTTGACATCTTAACTGTTTTTCTTATACATCTCTCCAAATGTATTGTTACTCTTATATAAAAATTCTAAAAAAAAATGCTGTTGCCAATCTTGACTATTTCATTTTGGATTTTATTAATGCTAACATTAAGTGTAATTTACATTTAAACATAAGAAACATTGACCCGCCTGGTCTCTCTTCTGTCCCGCTCTCGCCTGGTCTCTCTTCTGTCCCGCTCCCGCCTGGCGTCTCCTCTGTCCCGCTCCCGCCTGGCGTCTCCTCTGTCCCGCTCCCGCCTGGCGTCTCCTCTGTCCCGCTCCCGCCTGGCGTCTCCTCTGTCCCGCTCCCGCCTGGCCTCTTAATTCAATCATATCCTCACCCCCTTTGATGCCAAGTTTCCTCAATTCATCACCCATTTTCTTACACCATTATCTTCATGACTTCCTTTTGGCTTACAGCCATATCCTGTTGAAACACCAGTTCTCATACAATCACCAAAGTTAAGCATTGTCAAGCCTGATCAGTACCTAGATGGGTAATTGTTTGGGAATACCAGGTACTGTAAATTTGGATGTACTGGTGGAAAAATTTCTTTAGGAACAAAGTTCTGGATTGCTACGTGATATCCATCCTCTTACATGGCAGTGATTGTTGGATGGAGAGAAAACTGGAGACAGCAGAAATGTTCATTCTGCAAAAGGATAATGAAAATTCCATGAACAGAATGGGTAAGCAATAAGGAAGTCTTAAAAAAAATGGCAACAGAAAGAGCACGTACTCACACTCGGGAAGAGAGAACTGGAATTCTTTGTAATCATAAAGGAGGACATGGGGAAACTGAATTCTCATAGATCCTGTTAAAATGCCAAAAGAAAGGGAGAGCTGAAATTCCTTGGAATGTTGTGAAGGAGGTGAGGGCTAAGTTTTCCAACTTAACCCTCACGGGCCATATTGAGGGTAAGAAAGATAGGGGAAGCCTGCTAGCCACTTACCTGGTGAGTTTGTGTGAATAGATAGCAGAATGTGTTAGCTTTATTAAGAAAACAAAATTTTAATGCTACAATTGTGCTTAGGATTAAATCTGATAAATCCAGTTCATTTTGAATGATTAAAAAAAGTAAACATGATTTTCAAAGCAAATACAAAAAAAAAAAAAAAAGCAGTTTTTATTTAAATTGTTTTCCTTGTTCACATTGTTATTGCATTTAGATCTTTAATTTTTTTCTTTTTAAGTCTAACGTGGGAACATCACTTTTGATGGAATTTGTAATAAATTAAGCAAACCTTTCAGCAGTTTATCAA